TGCTTATTATTCTCCCTGCTTCTGACACCGTTGTTGCTGAATGTATCGTTTATCAAATCCATCGCTACATAAGAGTTCTCATGTTTCAAAACAAGAGCTGAAAACTTCAATATAATTATTTGAATTAAACTGAATTAAAATCAATCTCTGTTCCATCTTCAAGCGTAACAAAAAAATTCGCTTGAAGATGAAACAGATTTGTACTTCAATTCAATTTAATTCAAATAATTATGTTGAAGTTTTCAGCCTTTGTTTTGAAACATGAGAACTCTTATGTAGCGATGGAATCATATTTTTAAATAAATAATTGTATTTATGCTCTACTTTTGTATCGAGCACTATTTTTAAAAATAATAACAAAAATACTAAAGAACTTTGGATTATTTACCTAACGAGTTCTTTCCTATTTTCTATATATTTTGCACACACACACACACACACACACACACACACACACACACACATATATATATATATATATATGTGTGTGTGTGTGTATGTGTGTGTTGTCATTCACATCTAAATTATTTTGCAGATCTTCAGTGTAGCTAGACGTCCAGTTGCCTCTAGCTAGGATCGAAATCCGGGTTAATTGCCCTATGTCAGAGATTCTACCATTAAGCCGTCCGCGCACGTAGGGGGCGAAGATGAATTTTTGCGTAATAATTTTATTTTTATTTTATTTTTTTTAGATAAACACACAGTAACTGAGAGGACTCGATTCACTTGCCGAAGAGTTTTGTCGTAATATTCAGTGTTTGCAAACCAACACTTTCTCCCACAGAGAGCTCAACCGAAATAAATTTTTCAGGAGCATATATATATAAGAGATGGCAAGCTTTCGGAGGGATTAAAATTGGTAATCAGGAGCAAATTGAGGTTATACCTCACTTCTAGATTAGCGTCATATGTATTTTTAATCAACTCACCCCAACGAATGCGATAATGCCGTTACGATGCAAAGGCTTCTGGGAGTGTAATAGAATGTTGAGACTTTAGAAAAAAAACAGACACCTTGTCCTAAAGCGGAAATAATTGTTAAAACTCGATGTCTGTTCAAAATAACCTATTTACACCAATTAATTATTAAAGTAGACAAACGCTTTTAATGAAGCGTTCTTTAATCACGTTTTTAGTAGTTCCTTCCTCGTTAAATGATTTAAAATAATCAAGTTGAATTTCATTGGTCCTACCATGAAATCAGCGATTATCAACCAACAAAGATGTGTGGAGATAACACGCTTTGTATACATTCAATCAGTTAAATGCTATAAGTGATATACACTTGGGCGATCATGTCTAGTTCGAACCATAACTGACTAGGCAGTAGATATTCCCGCAGTAGGTATCCATTTCTTTCTGCAGTAGGCTGGTTACGAAGCAAGTTTTTCCCTGCACAGAGTAGAGATAGAATCATAATTTCCCATAGGTATTTGCGCTTAAGTGAATGCAACGAACTCGACTGGAATTCGAACTCAGCACTCTTTTTTCTCATTCCGAACCGATATCGGTTACACAACACACTTTGGCATCCCAAAGAATTAGTTTAAATGTATTTAATCTGATGTCGCTTGAAAGGAGTAATATTTAGTGTATATGTAATGAAATGTTATATGACAGTTAATAATAACATACAAATATGTAACAAAATATAAATTTCACGATACTTTAATTGTTGATATTTAACATTAAATTTTATTTCCTTCTAATACATCGTCAGTTATTTTCGATAAGTGAAGGTATGGCCTATTGTGATCCTCATCCTGATATGGAACTTACATCCTTGTCTGCGATGTGTGAAACATCGCCTTAAATCCTTTCTAGAGAGGTTTTGTACATAACCCTCAAATGTTTGTAGTTCCCACGCTTGCGAAACTAGGTGGCGTTTTGTGGGTATTATTATGCTCTATTCGGCGGTCGGAGGTAAACTCTGACCAGTCCTAATTTCGCTGGTCGGGTGAGAAATCATATGCAAGAACTGTTTCAGCATAATTCACTATCAGTAGCCTGATTTAATTTTCTCATTTGCAAATAAACATAACATTTCATTTCAAATTAAATATTTATGTATTCAGTGCATGGAATCATCTCCATTATGTAGTATTTAAATAAAGTTATTTATCTTTAACCTATGTTGGCCATTAAAATTTAGCGTGTCACATTTAATGTTGTTAGCCAATTTTCGCATAGTTTTCTTCCTTTATATGCATAAAATTAAAGAAATGTCTAATATTTTTATCACTTTAATGTGGCGTAATTGATAGCGTCGAAGATTGAGGAATCGGAGAGCTGAGTTTGAATTCCAGCGGAATCTATTGCATTCACTTACATGCTAAATACCATTGGGAAAGGTATGAATCATTTTCTCTCCCACGGCTATGTGTAAATAGCAACACATACATGGTTCTATAGCTCTGGATGGTAACTGGTCTTTCTCAAAAAGAAATGACAACCTAATGCGGGAAAAAATCTGTCACGCCAGTCATATATCGAAAGATACATGATCGCCTGAACTTGCATCACGTATTGCACATAACTGCTTCATAATGCTTCATATATTACTAAATTGCTACAGATAATTTGTACTTCCGAATAAAATGTATGAAAATAAAAAGTTCAATTTGGAAAAGTTCACGCAGTGGTTACTTTGAACAATCTGCTTTAAGACACATTAATTGAAAATTACCTCTCTAAGAGAGAAATAAATAATTTAATGTTATGATAACGATCATGAAAAATATGCAACTGTGAAAATTATTTTGAAACTGATGTAGAATATTCAATTGATGCTGGCTCAAATTCATTCTTATCCATTGTAACCGTTTCTGATTTTTGTATGGTCTGATAATTGTAAAATCATCTTCTAATGCCTTTGGAGACAGAAATTAATTTTTGGAAATTGATATTTTTGTTCATTTTATTGCAAAACTAACAAGCTTGAGATTTCCCGGAGGAAAAATATCGAAGAAAAATTGCAAAATACCTAAATATTTAATTATTTTTGATCGATATTCATTCTTCTTCTTTTTTTTAGAAATAATGGAACAGTGATATAATTTGCCAAATCAGATATTATTTATGATATTTGCACAAGGAATAAATAAGAGAAACCTCAAGGCATTGAAATTAAATTTGAACAGGAGTAGGAGTTAATCCCTTGTTTCTTGTATAGATTTCGCTTTCCGGTTCCTCGTAAGTCTACTCTCACAGTATATTTCTGCCGGAATTCTGAAATGTTATACACTTATTAAATTTTGGCCCCTTCTAATCTACAGTTAGCCATTATCTTTCGTAGATATCCCGACAAGCTCCACTTATTGGCCTTACTTACGCTAATAGAATATCACACGGTAATCCTATACCTTGAGTTGATCTTGTATTATATGAATTTTAAAAAAAAAATATGCAGACTAACGGGATTATTTTTCAAAACAACAAAATCAGTAGATAATTGATCACCGTAATTAACCTGAGATTAACACAATAAACAGAATACTGTTCTAATGGAAACAGAAGGCAATTTACTAAGATGAAAGTCTATAGAAAGTGCTTTAATCACTAAAACATTCACAGTAAATTTGCATCAAGTTTCTTCAAACAATTCCTCTTTTTTGAAGGATCTATTATCACGAGGTGGTATATGTAACAAACCTGATAACAAACAAATGAAAATGTCTAGATTATATTCGTAGCATATAAGAGAAATCATTTAAAGTAAATATTCTCAGTGGCGAAGTTTTCCTGTGTATGTTTCGTCGCATCAACGTGAACATCAGTAAAGAACGAAACGTGCCAGAGAAAAAGTTTCCCATTTTTTTTATAGATTTCCATAAAATTGTTCCTAAAAAGTAAACGACGTAACGTTTTCTCAAAAATTGTTCTTGAAGAAATAAAAACGATATATCGTTTTCTCAAAAGTTGTTATTGAAAAAAAAAGAAAGATATATCGTTTTCTCAAAAATTGATCAGAAAAAACAACGATATATAGTTTTCTCAAAAATTGTTCTTGAACAAAACGATATCTTCTTTTCTCAAAAATAGTTCCTGAAATAAAAAAAAAACGATGTATCGTTTTCTCAAGATATTTTAGTAGGATTATTATATTAAAAAAGAATTATTAATTAAAGAAAATTAATTAAAAACGAAAATATATTGACGTTGGGAATCGTTTAAAAATTATGTAGACAAAATTCCCTGCCTGATGCATTGTTTTATAATGTAAGAATTATGTTGAAGAAGCAATCTGGATGGCACTTGCTACTTACCAAGAGAATTGGGGAGGATTTTACGCAATGTAGCGTTGCAAGTTCTGGCTTTAAAGTCTGAACTCGTAGAAGGAAGCTCGTTCGTTTGAAAATTAGCAATAGAAATAGCGATAGATTAAAAAGAGGCTAGTAACGATTTCTCTGTGGAAAAAAAGGTTGCAAGGGGGAACGTAGTACATCATTTACATGACAGCGTCACCTGTTTTGAACGCAGTTAAGGCTGGTTAGTGCACCGTATATAACACCGAACTAGATATGGCAGTTATTATTCAATCTTTACTTTATCTGATTCTTGTCAAGATACAGAATGTCAGTAGGTGTTATATGCTTTCTGGAGAATTTAACACAACTGGCCATTGTTCCATCATCTTTATGGTACGAATATATGGGTTTATCATGATGTCGGAAGTGAAATTTTGGTCCAATAGGCGTTCGATACAAGGAGCCTCATTGAGCGGACAACTGCTCTTCTAAATCGGAATATTTTGATTGATTCTTTTTCTATTGCTTATCAACCATCTTCAGGTTAATTAAAGATAAAAAAAATGTTTTCAGGTTGTAAGAACTTTTTTTGATATAATAATGGTTTAATTAAACAAATCTTACTGATTAATCCAGAGATGGGGGAGAAAAGTATGATATGAAACTTTCCCAAGAGCATTTGCGCATAAGTGAATTGGAACGCAGCATTCTACTTCCCAACAGTTATTCATTACACCAGCCACACATCCATACTTACAGCACCTGCTATTCACAAAAGGTCACCCACCTAGTTACTGACCAAGCTCGACTTTGCTTATCTTCGGTAATCGTACGGAAACCGGTGTTTCAAAGTGATATGACCGTAAGCAGATTAATATATCAAAAACATTCATTCCAGATATCCTAATTCTTATTTTGCCCTAAACTACCAGTTAAGGCAATATTATAGGATAGTTAACGGACACTAGTAGATGCAATTTTAAGTTACATTGGCTTGAAATCAGGATTTGAAGTATTGTAAGTATGGTGCTTTGACTAATGGTTCTTAAATTCATTGTTTTTATTATTCATTGTAAATTTTCTTATAATAACATTTGAAATTAAGTTAACAAACTGGATATTATAATAATAATAATAATAATAATAATAATAATAATAATAATAATAATTATTATTATTATTATTATTATTTATTATTATTTTTATTATTATTATTATTAAGATCTTGCTGTAGCAATAAAAAAGAAAGCATTTCATGAACAATTTGAGAAAGTAAATGAAATACGTAAAAATAAAATAACATGGATTTTGCTGAAAAAATCATTTTCATATAAGGAAATTGAATATGCTATCATAACAGCTTTTTTTATTCAAAACTAGAGTAAAAATATATCATTGACAATGTCCTCAAAGAAGACATATTACCCAAAAATATGTGAAAATTCCAATGAAACTATAGAAGCTATTGTGAGGAGCGAAATTTGTCACTTTCCTATTAAATATAAAAACATCATCCAGCTGCAAAAATCATGAGTTAGTAGTTGTGTAATAATTGAAGTTAACAACGAGAGAAGAATGACACAGCCATAAAACTTATGATGTCCTTCACTAATAAACATGCATGATTTTGTGAGATTCTACAAAGACATGCAGTCAACGACGAAAGTATTCGTGCTTCCATCAATTTTGAATATTTTTATCCATTTCTCAGAATCTAATGATGCCAAGTTTTGTATATGCAATTAAGCACAAAAACGCAATATAAAACTCAATTTTCGGAGTAATAGATTAAATATAACAAATTTGACATGCGAATTACGCAAAATAGAGAAAGACAAAATTAATCGTACAGGAGAAAATATCGTTTTAAATTGATTGATTTGTATGAGTAATTTATATAATTTTTTCGGGGAATCCTACTAGACTATTTATTCAGTAGAGTATTTGTTTTATTTTTATCAAATAATATCTAGTGGTGCATAGAGTGTCAACATTTTTTTTTTGTTGCGTTAACAATGCAATGAGCAAAACAAAGGATCTTAGCTTTGACTTGAGACAGGGAATTATTAACTTCCACAAATCGGTAAATAGTAACATCACTATTTCAAACCGTATATTCATCCCTAGATGTAAGGTACAGTCTGTTATAGAGAAGTTTAAACAGTTTAGCACGAGAGAGAATTTGCCTAGAAAAACCCAAGTTGTCATCGAGAACTGCACGAAAACTGTGTCGCGAGGTTAATATACACGCAAGAGCCGTTTTGAAAGATATCGCCAAAAGTTTGGATACGATTTCAGCGTAAGTACTTGCAGAATACAACATTCTTTGAATAGAAATGATTTGTATGGGAACTGACTACGGCGAATGCCTCTTAAAAACCATGTTGCATTGTTGCTCGGTTTAATTCTGCCAAAACATTCTTTGAAAAATGCAATTGCTTTTGTGAACAAGTACTATGGAATGATGAAACGAAAGCTGAGCTTTTTGAACATAATGATGTAAAGAAAATTTGGAGTAAGAAAGGTGATGCTTTCCTCCCAAAGAACACAGTGGCAACATTAAAAAATGGAGACGAGTCGATGATGTTTTGCAACTGGACAATAAATTACAACAAGAGGAATAATGAAATCTGCAGATTATATCAACATTCTGGATGAAAATCTACAATTATCAGCGCAAAATCTTCATCTGTGTCGGCAATTCACTTTTCAGCAAGATAATGATCACAAACATACGTTTAAATCAGTGACTGCTTGGCTTCAGAAAAAGAAGATTACAGTTCTGATATGGCCTTCAATGAGTTCTGATTGAATCCTAATGAAAATCTATGTGCTAATATCGAAAATTCAAAAAATGGTGAATATGAGATGCCATGCAATTGATTATTAATATTGTCATTGGTTTTTCAAATTTTCCTAATGTACGAATATTTATGTTTTATGCTTATTACAACATAGAAAAATCTGACATTCCTAGAAAAGGATAAAAATATTCAAAATTGATGGAACCACGAGCAAATTTCGTCGTTGACTATAAACCAGGACCCAATAAACCTGGACATACTGGTGGAAGATACGATAGAATGGAAAGCCACTTGTCACTGACAATCGGCTCCTTTTGAAACAACAAATAATAAAATAAGTTTAAGTAATCAAATGAACAAGCTCACAATCAATGCAGCTGTAATTGGGGCACCTTTTACGATAAGCGAGATAACAGAGATAAGGATAAAGAATATTTGTAATGATTGGTCAGAGGTCGTTTGCACAAATGAAGACTCTTAAGAATTGCAGATAAGTGATGACTCTGAGAGTAAGAGGCAATTTGATAATAACTAATGCTACTAGTTTAGAATCGCTAACCATGGATTAATTACCAGATATTAAAACCGTATCTAAGTTAACAATGGAATAATAATAATAATAATAATAATAATAATAATAATAATAAACCTACTCTACATGGATGATCTCAAACTCATTGCCAAAGACGACAATGAGTTGAAAGGCCTCCTCAATATTGCAAAATACTTCAGTGACGACATAGGTATGGACTTCGGATTAGATAAATGTGCAAAAGTAATTTTCAAGAAAGGTAGAATTACGGAAACACCCTTAATAGATTTAGATTTTGTCACAAAGATTAGGGAACTGGAGCATGATGAAGCTTATAAGTACCTAGGAATTAGCGAAGGAGATGGCATACAAGCCCTCTAAATGAAGGAAAAAATAAGAAAAGAGTACTACAGGCGTGTACGTCTGGTACTAAATACTGAGCTAAACACAAAAAACAGGATATCAGCCATAAACACATTGGCTGTCCCTGTGGTGCAATACAGCTTTAATTTCCTTAACTGGACCATAGCTGAAATTAAGCAAATGGACGCCAAAACGAGAAAGCTTCTCACTTGCTATCGCATGCATCATCCTAAGGCTGATGTTGATCGTCTGTATGTGCCCAGATCCGAAGGAGGCAGAGGATTAATTCAACTAGAACTGTCCTACAAAACTACAACAATTGGCCTCCAAATATATTTGGAAACTACAGAAGACTGGATGATGGTATGCGTCAAGGAACATGAAAGTAGTAAGCGTCTTTACTCCGTAATGAATGAAGCCAACAAATTCAAAATGGAGTTTCAAATGGGCGTAGAGATGCAACTACAGCACAATACACCGGCTGAAACTGCAAAATACCTAAAAAAGACAGCAAAGACGAATGCAACCAACCAGATACAGAAGCGATGGCAAGATAAACCGCTTCATGGCCAATACTCTGCCCGTATCAAACAAGCTGGCGTAGACAAAACCCGTACCCATCAGTGGCTACGTAGTGCAGGGTTGAAAGCGGAAACTGAAGGTTTTATCCTTCCTGCACAGGACCAATGCTTGCTAACTAGGAATTATCAAGCACTTATACTAAAGTATTGTGTCAGCCCAAAATGCAGATTCTGTGATAAGTATCCAGAAACGATTGATCATCTTGTATCAGGTTGCACGGTGTTGGCACCCACTGAATATAAAACCCGACATGACAGAGTGGGCCAATATCTGCACTGGAAAATCTGCAACTTCTACGGAAAGGAAACTGAAAGAAACTGGTATGAACACCACACAGACCCGGTTACGGAGATAGGACCTGTTACAATTCTATGGGACTACACAATACACACTGACAGAACAATCAAGGCCAATCGACCAGATATTGTTATTAAAGACCACAAACAAAAAAAGTGCCTCCTTATTGACATGGCAGTCCCTGCTGACTGCAATGTATCTTTGAAGATATTCAAAAAGTTGTCAAAAGACAAGGACCTTGAAATAGAAATCTCGAAAATGTGACATATGGGAACATCAACAATCCCTGTTGGAGTTGGAGCCCTCGGACTGGTTGGAAAAGAGTGCAGTAGACTAATTGAAGGGATTCCTGGAAGTCCATGCCTCAAGGAGATACAAACAATTGTTCTGACAAGTACAGCCCACATCTTACGGAGGTCTTTATCTATGTAATTTAATTTCTTTTTTTTTTTTTTGTCAGTGGAAAGTGTCATGAAGCCATTTCTAACCTTAGGTCCCTGGGCGGGACACGGAAAGAAATGTGTAAACGCCAGAAATCAAAGAAAATAAAAATAATAATTATAATAATAATAATAATAATAATAATAATAATAATAATAATAATAATAGACCGCAAAGACAAAATTTAGCTTCTTATCGATATGGCAGACCCCGCAAGCTTAAAAAAAACTATCAAAATACAAGTACCTTTAAATCGAAATCTCAAAAATATAGTACATGTGGACGTCAACAACTCCATTTTTAGTTAGAGGCCACGAATTGATTAGAAAAAATATCCAAGTGACTCTGTGAAGGGATTCCTGGTAGCCCATGCCTTAAACAAATAAAAAAAAATATTGTACTCACATGTAGTGCCCACACCTTACAAAAGGATTTGTTTATGTAAAGTAAGTATGATCTTAGGTTGTTTTTTTCTTAAAAATACTTAGTTTAAAATATGATGCCATTTCTAATCTTAGCTCTCTGATTGGCACAAGGAAAGTAACGAGTATATTTCAAAAATCAAAGGAAATAAAATAATAATAATAATAATAATCATATCTAAAAAATGTGGCACATGGGAACATCAACAATCCCTGTTGTAGCTGGAGCCATAGGAATGGTTGGAAAAGATTCCAGTAGACTAATCGAATTGATTCCTGGAAGTCCATGCCTCAAAGAGATACAAAAAATGTTCTGACAAGTACAGTCCACACTTTACGAAGGGCATTATCCGTGATTTTTTTTTTTTTTTGTCAGTGGAATATGTCATGATCCAGAAATAAAACCAATCATGATGGTCGGATGA